TCAGGTTTGGGGTTTTCGTCTTCATCTGCCACGACTATTATCTCAGGAGCATTCTCTTCCTCGTGGTCAGACCCATCAGTTTGTGATTGTTGGGTAGTAGTTTTTAGGGGCGAAGGGGCTGCATAAAATTCAGGTTTGTTAATTTCACCAAGAGAACTCACACCAGAACCCAAATTAGATGTAGGGATATAAGTGGGTTCACCTTGGCTGTTCAATGGATAAATAGGCAAGGGAGACGGTTGCATCGAAGGCTTGGAGGCCTCGGTAGTAGTCTGCAGTTGGGAAAATAAACCTCATGAGACGCGAGATGAAAAAGACAAGAGCTTGATATAGAAAGGTCAAAGATTCTTTCACAATACCTTCGTGGCTTCCTCAGCCGGACTAGAGTTATCACTCTCTATGGGAGCGGCAGAAGGATTTGGATCATTTATTGTGGGAGCTTTGACAGGAGATTCAGGAGGCGTGTTTTATTTTTGTATTTTGGCGGGAGATGGAGGAGATTCGACGCTCTCTAGCCCACGAGTTACCCTTCGTTTTCTTTTTAGGGAAGTATCTTCACGAGGGGATTCATCATCGTCGGAGTCTATGATGATTTGGGCTACAAATTTTCTTCTTTTTTGAGGGGTTGGAGGTTTGAGGCTAACCTGGGAAGATCGAAGTGATCAGCAAAGGACAGAAAAGCTTCAGGTGAATAAGATCATGTAAGAATTTACCTTTGAACTTTCGATCTTTCCTTCTGTTTTATTGGTCGGAGCGTTTCTTTTGGGAGCAGCTGCGAATAAATAAATATAGAAGATATAGGTTAGTAACGTTGAAGCTCCATGAGAGGAAGCCAAATCGAAGGGAAATGACCTTCAAGGATTTCGGTCTCGATGTGAACATCTTCGATACTGACATAAAGGTGCCTTCTAAAGGTATCAAGTGTATGTTTAGTCGGAACCACCCGCTGCGCCTTAGGCTTCGACTGCTGTCGAAGTATTTTTATACTATCCTCACAAATAAACCAGTCTGGAAATGGAGGGGCAAGAGCCACGCCAAAATCAGCGGACGGTAATCGAGGGGTCTTTGGGGGAAAGAGTTTAAAAGCAACCTCATATCGTCTATCGTAAGGGATAGATGAGGGGATTTTCAGATTCTCCATTCGTTTAGAAAACTTTTCTTTTAAAGTGACAGCAGCCTCGCGGATGGTTCGACTAACATCATTTGGTCGATAGGCAGTTTCGAAGTACTTCTGGAAAGCTTGTATCTCTTTGATATGAGTAGACATACCTTTCTTGACCTTTTCCTGCACATCAATAAAAGCCTGGTCAATCAAGCGTGAAAAACTTGAAACATCAAGAAAATTGTTGGAGTAATGGTTGGTCCACCAGTTATAAAAATCTGGGGTACAAAGGTGAGAGGGTTCAAAATAGATTGGAGTAAAATGGGACTTATAGGCATAACGGGCCGTTTGAGTCGAACACTCAAGTGGGTTGAAGATAGTGGAGAGAAGGATAACATGAGACTTCTTATCATACAAGCACCTAGGCAATGATTGAATTAACCCAAATTGCCTCGACACCAAGTTAGGTTGATAAGCGACTAATATTGCTTGTCCTCTGACAAGATTAAGCTTATGAACAATCAAGTGTGGCGTCAAGAATCTCTCCCATATCAGATTTGATTCTGCTTCTTGTTTTTGCGAAACTGGAGGAAATGACCTGGTGAACCATTCAGGGTCATACAACCTATGAGCAAAAGGGGCCATCCTGGGAGAGAATTCATGCCTTTTTGCAAACAAGTGGATGAAACTGGTAAGGTTGGCACGAAGGCTTCGACCCTCTTCACTTGGTGTCAACTGAACCAAGCGTGGCCATTCGACCCGGCGTTCAGATACCTGGGCTTCGTCGACCTCTCCTTTGAAGGGAAGGCTGTGCTCGAAGGTAGCGTTCAACCATAATTGAAGCAACCAAAATGGCCCTGCCATTATAAGAGTGCCATGGGTTTTTGGATCCCTTAGTTTATCAGCGCCTTCTCCCAAAGCCTCATACAGGCTGGCTAGTATCATTTCACTGAGACATACGTCCCTTTTAAGGTGTAACTGATTCGCCAGGGTAAGGTACTTCCTCGCCACCTGCAAGGACTTTGTGCAAAAAATACAACGAGACAACCACATGGCCAGAAAGGCTATGTGCTCCTCGTCTTCGACTACGTCGGTGTCTTTCTTATGATAACGATTTATGAAGGGTGTGTAAGTATGTTTCGTACTACCAAAACCTATGGTGTCCCGTGCATCAATTTCAGGATTGTAAGCCAATCCACATGGTCTTAATCCGACAATAGTAACCATGTCGAAGAGCGTGGGAGCCACCATTCCGCAGGGAAGATGGAAGGTATGGTGAATGCTGTCCCAAAAATACCAAGAGGAGCCCAACATTAACAGACAGTAAGGTGGCCCAACCTTTGACAACATGATTAGGTCATAAATACCTATTTCTTTCCAATGCTATGCCTTTGCTTTCTCTATTTTTGCCAACCAGTTAAGGTAAAGTTCAGAATCTTTGAAGTACGGCGTAACTCTAAAGAGTCTTGCTCCATCATGCAAATATTTGAGGTCCACATTGAAGAGAGAAAGGTCATCAGAAGGGATTTTGCTAGCATCTTTTTGCCCTAAGGGTTTGGTTTTCCGATAAGAAGGGAAAAAGTCACTCAAGGTGGAATAATCAAGGTCTGGGGTGACAATGGGCCAGACATGGCTAAGGGTTTTCCAGCCACATCAACGGGGATGATTACCTGAGATTCGTAGATGTGTCATTTTTCTTCTGCTAACGGCTCCCTGATGAGCTGTTGGTTCTTCGTGATTTTTGGTCCGCTCAAGGTAGCGAAAGGTGGCAATGCAGACGAAGAAGATGGTCTCCTAGTTTGAGTTTTCTTCTGTTGTTCAGCCATGATTGAAGGTTTTCAGAGAAAAAGGAGATTTTTCTTGTGTTGGAAAAAACGAGTTTCTTTAGCAAAGAGGAGAAGAGTAAAGGTTGGTAAAGAATTAGAAAGTCTTTATGAAAAAACTCTTGGTGATGTTATAAGGATTCAGAAAATTAAGAATTCTTACGTGGTTGAAGTTAGTGGGCCACGTGTGCGACCTAGTGGAAGAAGTAAGGGGCGGTTGTAACCTATACCCCTAGGCGCTAAAAGGGTGATGATGTTTTCTGAATTTTTGTGAGTTCCAAAAAACCTGCCATGATGATGATGACGTCAGAAGCGTGCAAAGTGGCGTGGTTTTTAATATAAACATTTCTCTTTCTTCTGTTTTATCTTCCAAAGGATAAGAGGCAAACCAAATGGTATGATAGTATCGAAAAGATGGTGTCGAATGGGATACTATCAAAAAAATGTCCTTTTCCTACAATAAGGTCGAAAAGAACATTCTTTGGGGGCAATTTGTTAACTCCCAAATTCGACACTGCCTTGGGTTGCTAAATATTAAGACATAATTAATGTCTAAGTAAAATGAAGCAAAGAGGTTTCGACAGCCTCTAAGGAATCTTCTAAGCTAAACGGTTGAAATAACTTAGAAAAATTAAGAAACCTAAAGTTATGAGCATTTCGACCGTGTCAGAGGTAGTTCGACCGAAATTCTGCAGGAGGATTGCTACGCCGTTTTGAAATTCAAATTTGGAGGGAGCGGTTCTGTTCATAAGACACGTGGCGAGTTCTAGAGCAGGAAGTTACATGCAATTGACACTTGTTAGATCGAGGAGATACTAGGAAGTTATTAGTAGTTAATTATTAGCATTATAAATAGGGATTTGTTAGACAGATTTCAGTGTGTTTTACCATTTGTACAAAGTAACTCCAATCAAATTTACTCAAAGTACCCGAGTGTGAGAAAAGAGTATTTTCACGGAGAATGTACGTTATGTAAAATCACCAACTTTTCAATAAAGTCTTTTACAATTTCAGCAACATTTACATTTCCTCTTTCGAACCACTTGTGCAAGTGTTACCTTTTTGCTTTTACCTTTCCTGCATCCTTTACTCCAATTCCTCTTTTCCTTTAAACTTTTTACCTTCTTCGATCAGCCTTTTACAAATCTTTTACAACATTTCTTTAAGTTTATGCACTTTAAAATACCCAGTCGAAGTCTTTTTCATTACAAACACATTTACCAATTCGTTATTACAAGTACTTTAAATCTAATTCTAAACGAAGAATACTTTAGCACATGTCCTAGGATCAATCTGATCGATCCTGTGAGTCACCAAAGTCAAATTTGGAAGATCAGCGGTTGTTTTCCGATTTTCAAGAAAAACAACCACTTATCATGAATGAAAGACATAAAAAAAGAGAATTATCCTCACTTCTCATCAAAATTCTAAGAAGGATTCTCTAGTCCTCCTAATTTAAGGAAACTCATCTCCACCAGTTAAATTTCTATAAATTTATTGTCGGTTGACAATGATTTAGAAATGATGTCTTTTCTATCTATATTTTATTGTTCACATAATTTTATAAGCAATTTTCATTTTTGAATGTCAAAAATGAACTCTTAGACTCAAACCATTGACAATTGTTATAGGTGCATTCAACCGACTGCATTTTTACATGAGTATTTTAGTAATCTAAAAAATTTCAATGTGACACTATAGATTTTAAACGTGGCTCTGATATTATCTTAAGAAGATGTGGTTGAGTCTAACTAAACCCTACAAAACCAGCTAGTAGGGTCAGGGTGACAATTGACCTCACTTATAAACATACGTTCAAGTCATATATTGTCTATAATAAAAGAGATAAACTTTTTTTCCTAGAAATCAAAGTGAAGATGGAGCAAAATGGGAGTTCCATTGAAGATATGACATGGTGACCATCTAGTCTATGTACAATAACTACTAATATTTGTCACAACTAATATATTGCATGCCCAGAATATTACAAGTCATTGATCACATAAGAAACAATCATAACAAAGAATACATGCACTGTTATTATGCATATAATCTTCCTTGTGCCTGTTGGTCTCCTACATCATTGTTGGGCTACCATCAAATGAGACATCATTTTCAGGGACACTGGCATCAAAATCAAACTTTTCTCCCTTATCAGAAATAGTGCCTTGTGATCCTAAGGCCTGCCAAATCATTCCAAGTTGTGTCATTACATCAACTTATTGATGTTAACAAGAGTTTATACTGTTGAAAAGCTCTTTTTGTGTAAAAATTAATTAATCAAAAATCAAAGATGTGCCAAGCCACCAACCATCTATAAGCTCATAGGTAATGTCAAATGACCTTGCCAACTTAACACACATTATCACAACCTTTCATAAGTTACATATAATCTAAAAATATTCTTTATTTAAAAATGAAGTACATTTAATACAACAGTATGAACACAAGAAACTTACAGTTTCATTTGGAACAACCGCATATCTTGCTGATAAAGAGGCAAATGATTTCCCTGTAAAAGTAAAAACGAAACATCACAATTCATGGAAAAGTCGATTCTAAATTAAACTGTCATATAGTATAAATCGGCAACGGCTACAGAAAAGGAACAAAAGTCACAAATGAGTTTGATCTGAGCACCTGATGATGGATACTTTGACGATTCTATGCGCTTTCCGCCACATCCATCAGCGCTAAAGGCGTCAATAATAATCGGAACGTTCCTGTAAATCCAAAAGAGCTAACATTCATATTCAAGCCTTGTAATGAATTGTAACAACTATGGTTTCTTGCACATGAAGTTACCAGTCTATGGTGTCTCCATGCCCAAGTTGTCCACTCGCACCTCTTCCCCAAGAATATACATTTGCGCAATTAGTGACAGCAACGGTGTGTCTCCATCCACATGAGATCTGAACTACTTTCTACCAAGCCAAACAAAATTTTGCAGAGATAAAAAATAGCGATCGTGATAAAAGAGTAGAAGACTCTAGAAGTTTAAAGTACCTGAGCATGAGGAAAGTTCACTAGCATGGGAGAGCAGCAATCAAAATTGTTACCAATTCCAATCTGTCCAAACTAAAATGGAAAAGAGAAACAGGTTTCAAATTTATCAAACACATTGCTAAGATTGTTTCAAATGCATTATTTAAACACATGCAAAAAAAAAATCATAAACTATTAACCTTATTCCAACCCCAACCGAAAAGTTGTCCGCTAGATGTGAGTGCCATACTATGCCTCCATCCACCTGATACCTGAAAAAAATGCACATGAAGTTGGTTTCCTATGTTTTCACGGTACCGATTCACACGTCGAATTTGAAGCTTACACTATAAAGTATAAATAGTTAGAAATACAAGATATCTAAATGAGACTAATTGTTTCCAACTCTTCACAAATTTGAAGGACCACCTGAGAAATGAACTTATCACTCAATGCTTGAACCTTACGAGGCACGAGATGGTCTTTGAAATCTCCATGTCCAAGCTGACCATATTTACTCCATCCGTGCGTGTATAATCCGCCGGAAGATGAAACCGATATTGTATGCCTCCAGCCACAAGCAACCATGCCTATCTTGTCACCCTGCAAAATGGACATTTATGATATCAGAAGTCCACTATTTTGCCACGCCATCCGACTCCGTCGGGACTACATTAACAGTCCATGTCCCTTAAACTCTTTTAAATTATAATACACAGTATAAGTTTGAGGACATACATCAATGTTCACTTTCTCGGGGATCAAGCGATCGTTTGTGTCTCCTAATCCCAAGTTTCCATATTTCCCCCAGCCCCATCCATACAAATCTCCATCTTCAGTAATTGCCACACTATGTTCAGCACCAGCAGCAACCATTTTGATACGTATTCCCTATAAATAACCGACGAAAAAATCACGCGTCCTAGTTAGAATTCACCGAGTAATGATCTTAATAGATAACCAAGATTCATCTATGAAAAAAGCACCTCAAATGCTAGAATTTTTTGTGGCACAAGAGAGTCCTCTGTAGTACCAAGTCCAAGTTCACCATTTTGATTACGCCCCCAACTTTAACCATCACACCAGAGAAATACAATGAATGACGAATGCGACACAAAAAAAAAGTATTTAAACAAGCAAATAAAAGACATAATCTCTTCTAGCTTAACCAGAGGTCATGGGTTCGAGCACGCAGCAGTGTTAAATCTCTTAGAGAGAGTTTGTCGCCTATTATGGTCCTACAAGGCTTGAGGGATTAGCCTCTGCAGTTGCGCGCAGAGGATACCCAATTTATAAAAAATAAAGACAAAAATATGTGCAACAACAAACTACAAACCTCAGCACCTTGCTTTCCATAGTAACTGCCAAACAATGACAGTCCCCACAAGCAATTTGCTTTATCATTAAACCCTGTAATGCTCTAATGGGATGAGGAATGAACAAGTCACTATGATCACCATGACCTAATCTTCCAAAATCACCCCTGCAAAAACATCATATGAAGAAAAACACAAATGATATTCTAACTATGAAGAAAAACACACTAGCCAAATATAGTTTAAGGCGAAGGCCAGACCATCCCCAACTATATACATTCTTGCCAGAATCGGAACGCGCCACGGTATAATCAGCTCCACAAGTAACAGATACAACGTCTTCTCCATCGAACGCACTCAGTTTTGTGGGTAAGAGTCGGTCATCAGTATCACCATGGCCTAACTGCCCGTCCTCTCCTCGCCCCCAAGAACAAACAACATTTCCAGCTATTAAAGGAATCAAAATTCAAACAAACATAAAAACCAAAACCTTAAAGACTTAAAAGAGTAAATAACCAATGTTTCCACTATAAACATTTCATTTAACTTTAAAAAAAAACTGAAAAATCAGTGCTTACAGAGAAGCGCCACAGTGTGGCTGGCACCAGCAGAAATGAGAAGAACATGAGAAGGTGAATCGTTGACTTCACTGATCTTCATCACTTCATCGTCCATGATCACCAAAATTTGTCTGGGAAAAGTTGACAGATAAACGTGTTTCTTTTTATATTATATAATAGGAAAGTGGAACAACAACAACAATAATGATACAAAGAGACAAACTTTATTTGTTTTAGTTCACAAAAGTCTAAATTGGCATACGAGTAGGTGAAATTCAATTACATCATTCAAGAAACGATGTTTAAAAAAAACAAAACACTGCTTTTCGTACCATACTATCATTAATGTGTGATTTTTATATCACCATTTTTGATATACAAAATGCAACACAATACTTTAACTTGATTTAAAGAATTAGTAAATGTGGAAGGTTATAATGAGAGAGTGATTATTGAGTAGGTGTGAAGTTGGTTAGAGAGTAATGAAGCGTCCTTGTATAACATAGGACTACATGTATACTAAAATGAAATGAATGCTATGAGGACAAAATAAGTGATGGATGTTTGAGGAGAATGAAAGAGAAACAAAGTTGACGAGGATTTATTAGAGATCGTTGCGGGTAGGTGATTTACACTTATTTCATTATTCCGGACAAGATCTATCGATGCAACTAATGCCCAGGATATATGGCCTCGTGTTACACGGATATTTAAGTGAGCCAATGACATGTATAGGATTGCATATATAAATTTATTATTTGTTTTCTTGTTGGGTTTTATACCTGTATTGTGAGATTTTGGGTCGAACTCTAACTCTGTCGAGGAATAGTTTTCATGTATTTCGACAGGAGACGAGCATGAAGCCGAAGCTAGATCACATGCTGATGTCGAAAGGTTACATATTGTAGTCGAAGCTAGTTCTATTATGTAATGTCGAAATTTATTGTTGATTTATTATGTCGAATTAGGCCTTGTGTTAAGGATCTAATTGTTTAGTTACCTTGTATTGTAAGTTACGTAGTTAGTCTGTAAATAGGGTAGATCACTTAGGTTGTTGAACGAGGTCAATTGTGGTATTCATTTGTAAACCCTTATGAGGAAGTGAATAGTAAACAATTTGCACTAATCCTTCTTTCTTTTTTATCCTTTCTTCTTTCTCTCTTTATTCTAACCGTTTTCATTGTTCACCCAAGAACTTCGTTTCTCAATCTTTATTTATTGAAAGGTATCGTTTGTGATCACAACAAATTGGTGTGGTGAGCGTGGAGAAGATGCTGTCAACAAAGTTTGAAATTGAGAAGTTCTCCGAAGTTAATGACTTCGGTTTATGACATTTGAAGATACGAGCCCTTCTTGTTCAATACGGTTTGCTAGAAGCGTTAAAGGGAAAAGATATCATGGATGCTGCATAGACGGAGATGGGAAAGACAACGATGATCGAGAAAGCTCACAACACAATTGTTCTGAGTCTTGGTGATAAAGTTCTTAGGCAGTTTCGAAGGAGACGACGACCGCTGGTGTTTGGCTGAAATTCGAAGGATTGTATATGACAAAGTCATCGGCAAATCGTTTGTACTTGAAACAAACTTTGTATTCATTCAAGATGACTGAGGATAAAGCGTTGACGGAGTAACTGGATGTGTTCAACAAGTTGATTATTGATCTTGAAAATATTGATGTTACCATCAATGATGAAGATCAAACATTGTTATTGTTGTGTTCTTTACGTAAGTCACATGCTCACTTCAAAGAAACCCTCTTGTATGAAAAAGAGTCCCTGAACTTTGAAGAAGTTCAAGCAGCCTTGTATTTAAAGGATTTGAATGAAAGAAAGGAGTAGAAACCATCATCATCAGTTGGCGAAGGGTTGTCCGTAAAGGGGAAATCGTCGAAGAGAGATGGTAGGTTTGAGAAGAAGAAAGGTAAAACTCAGCAGAAGTCTTATGGTGGTGATATTTATGGGATTAAGTGTTATCACTGTAAGAAGGAAGGTCACACAAGAAAGATGTGTCCTGAGTGCCTGAATAATCATGGAGGTAAGGACATGACAATGCAGCTATTGTGCAGCATGATTATGAATCATCTGATGTCCTTGTGGTGTCGAGCAGCAATTCTGGATGTACTTAGCATATGAATCCAAACAAGAATGTGTTTGAAGAATTATGTGGTCAAGATGGTGGATCAGTGTTGCTGGGAAACAATAAAGCTTGTAAGATTGCAGGTATTGGATCTGTAAGATTCAAGCTCCATGATGAGTCAATAAGACTATTGACTGAGATTAGGTATGTACCTGACCTTAAGAGGAATTTAATTTCTCTTGGTGAATTCGACAAGAAAGGGTATGTATTCAAAGGAGAGTAAGGTATCTTGAAAGTCATGAAGGGGTTGAAGGAAGTCTTGAGAGGCGTGAAGAAATAAGAATTGTATACCTTTGAGGTTGAGTTTGTAAGTGGTTCAGCAGATTTTTCCATGTCAGCGAAAGAGGCCTGGTTGAATTGGGGAAATAGAACCTGCTAGGTGGTGACAAGGTCGAGAAGTTGAAGTTTTGTGAACCTTGTGTATTTGGCAAATCCTGTAGGGCGAAGTTTAACAAAGGTAAACAAAGAAGACATGGATCCCTTGATTACATCCATGCTGATCTTTGGGGGCCTTCAAGGAATCCTTCACATGCAGGTGCAAGGTATTTTCTATCCATAGTTGATGACTATTCTATAAAATTATGGGTACTTTCTATTCAAAAGACTAGGGATGAAACTTTTGAGAATTTCAAAAGTTGGATGGTTCTGATCGAAACTCAAACTGGCAAAAAGGTTAAGAGGTTGAGAACCGACAATGGCCTTGAGTTCTGCAACAAAACTTTCGACAGTTACTGTGTTGGGTCTAGAATTTTAAGGCATAAGACTGTAGTAGGTACTCCTAAACAAAATGGCTTAGCTGAGGGATTCAATCGAACATTCCTTGAAAGGATTAGATGCATGTTGGTTAGTGATGGATAGGAAGGTGTTTTGGGCGGAGGCTATTTTGACAGCAGCTTATTTGATAAATAGATGTCACTCGACTACTTTAGGGTGAAGATACCTGAAGAAGTTTGTCCGGGTCAACCACCTGATCTCGGGTAGAGAGTCTTTCCCACAATGTTTGAATCAACCAGAGTATCCATATCGAGAGCTCAAGAAAACCATACAACAAATATAGGATAACAATGATGTAAAACCTAAGATATCTACAATATGATTGACTCTTTCTAGCTTGGAGCATACGTCCCAAGTAGAGTCGGCCGCTTTCGCATCTCTAAAAATGTGATCCTTTGGGGGGCACTTGCGTGCTTGCAAAGAAAAAGTTGATGTGAATCAAAGTCTCCAGCGAACTTTATATATTCCTAAAAAAAAAAGGGAAAATATCGATAAAATTCTTAAAAGGAAAAGAAGATGGTCATCGCAACCAAATACAGGTTCGGGAGTCAATTACGCAATGGGGAGGTATTAGCACCCCTCACGTTCGTTGTACTCAATGAGAATCTTTAGTTAGATTTGTGATTGAATGTTAGCTATCGTTAATCATTTCCTTTGAGTGGTAAAAGATTAAAGATAAAAAAGAAATGGGTCGCATAAAGTTTTTTATTAATGTGTCTGACGAGATTGTAGGTCTCGCTCCTACGTATCTCCAGGTGCGATGGAGAACTCAATGCTATGTAGTTCTAGGTAGCAAATGTTTGTGTGTTAGTCCATTTTAGTGAAAGATTTTCAAGTACATTCGAATGAAAAACATTGCTGCCCAAAACATGGATAATTGAACATTTGCATCACTTTAAGAATGGATGACTTAATCTGGATCAACACAAATTTATGCCATCATCACATTTGAGCGAAAAACATTTGATATTCTCATGTGGAAGCGCTATTTGCATCGTCGCGCAATGGACGAAGCGTCTTTCGTTTTTGAAAAAGTTTTGAAGTGAAAGCCAAAAGACAAAAGGTTTGAATGTGTTGAAAATGATTTTACGCTTGGAAGATGAGCATTTGTGACTTACAAGTGATTACCACTTGGGCCTAATACTCGAGACTATGACTGAAACTTTCACCCCAGTAGTCTTTTTCTGTCAATTTGCTTACAAAAAGGGTCGAATATTTATAAGTGTTTTGAAAGAAAGACAAACACTTGAGCTTAGAAGCTATTACAACTTGGACTTACTGTTCGGAACTATGACTGGACCTTTCACCCAGGTAGTCTTTTTATTTTGATTTATTGCAAAAAGGAAATGCGTTTGTATTTTGGGAAAATACGAGTATTTATGACTTACAAACGATTGCCACTTGGGCCTAATACTCGGGGCTATGAATGAATCTTTCACCCAATTAACCTTTTACTTTTCATTATTTTTTGAAATAGTTAAAGTATGAGTTAATTGTTTTGAATTTGATTAAGAAAAGAGTTTGATGTTGAGTTAAATATTTAATTAGCGTTGCAGAGAGAATTAGGAAAATGGTTTTGAAATGGTTGTGAATCGATGGTGAAAAATGATGGGACAGTGACGAAATGCTTTGAAAATCACTTGATGTTGATCAAGCATTTTATTTTGAAGAGATTGATTTATAATCACCGTTTATTTTCTTGTATAAACAAACATGCATTAAGTAAATAAAATAAACTAAAGAAATAAAAATAAAAGTGAGAGAGTTGCACTATCAGTACAAGAGTTGATCAAAACTAAAGAAAATTGACCTAATAAAGAAAATAATAAAAGAGAGAAGGATACAATATTAAAACATAATGTGTGAAATAAAATAAATAAAGCATATCAGAAATAATAAAAGGGATGAGGATGCACTATGAATACATGAGTAAGAATAAATAATATAAAAATAAAGTGAGATGCATTATCAATATAAGGGTAAAATAAAACAAATAAAGTATAAAAGAAATAATAAAAATGAAAAATATGCAATTAAAAGAATAAAATAAACATAGTTTTTTTAAAAGGTTTTTTAATATATGAGCAATTGAAATTATCAAGTGCATGAAAAAAAATAACAAAGTCGAGCTAAAAAAAGACAAAGCATTTAAGAAAAATAATAAAAAGAAATAAAATGAAAAAAATGATGTTGGGTTAAATGA